TTAGGCCCTGATAAGATCGTAGGTGACATTTCCCCATCTTAGGTTAGAGCGCTATCACCCGCCACTAGGGGAACCCGCCACTAGGGGTAATCCGCCACTAGGGGTAACCCGCCACTAGGGGTAACCCGCCACTAGGGGTAACCCGCCACTAGGGGTAATCAAAATGGCCGCCCGCCACTAGGGGTAATCTATACTACTAGTACTGACGGTGACGTCACGATCCGTCAACCAATCAGAGCACGATACCCCAAGTGACACAACCTACTGTAGGACCTTGTCCTCGGACGACCCCAAAAAGCGAATGAGAGAGCGAGAGAGAAAGCACATGGTCTTTCGGGAGGCCGAACCGAACGCCCCGCCGAAGCTCGATCGGTATATTTGGCTTGGCCTGCTTGGAAGATGCGAGAGGCAGGCAGGGCACATCAAAACAAGCGGTGCAATGCGAGCCCCCTCCCCTCACTCGGCCGGCGCCATTCGCGGAAAATGTCTTATTTCCTCAGCGACACGCAATCTCTCCGTCTGCCTTTGACAAGCGGGCCGGAACAGGAAAAGATGCACGAGCAGCAGCTGCGGACCAGCAAAACCAAAGAGAAACAGGGAGAATAGAGGGAAGGAGCGGGGGCCGGGAGGAGGAGAGAGACCACTAAACTGCATTGCATGTATCGGAAGACGTATAATGTGCAAACTGCATATGCTCCTGCTGCCGCTGGCGCTGCTGGAGAGTTACTTCCGGTCGCGGTGCCACCACCAGCCCGCTCTTTTTCAAATAACAATACGCAAGGAGTGTACAACGTTCGAACGGCACCGGAACTGACTTCGTCGACGTCCTCATTATACCCCGTCGTTGGCAAACGTCACTAACGTACTTAAATCCTTGCCGACACATGTTTGTCCGTCATGATGTTCACATAGCCACGCACCCACGCCCTTTGCACTCCCCGCGCAACCGTTTAGTGGCAGAGCGCACTCTCCTCGGTAAGGCCTCCCCCCACCTCTCTCCATCCCCCTCCCTCCCTCCTCCCTCCTCTGTCCCTCTTTTTCTCCCCCCCTCTCTCTTTCCACCCTCTCTCTCCTCGAGGCTGAGGGTGAAGGACTAGCTGGAAGTGGGGCGGCGGTGGTGGGCGGGGTGGGCCGAGGCGCCAGTGGTGAGTGAGCTATGCTGTGCCGGCGAGTCTCAAGTGGACGCAAGTCTGTACTTGCACTCGGTAATTATGCATTCAGCCCCGATTTGTAGTGGCTCTCTCTCTGTCTCTCTCTCTCTCCACTGCCGCCGCTACCACCACCACGTGCACATCCTGGGCGAGCTGCGCTGGCACCGCTCCCAGGCCTGCTCTCAAGCCCCTGCTGCACTTTTGCTCAAATTTAGCATCACCCACCAGAAGTAGCCCCGCATATATAGCCACGCCGTGCAAAAAGGGAAACACAAATATTTTGTATCTTTTATCATTTTTTTTCCCAGCTCGTTTTTAGAGGCGGCTAGCCCGAGCGAGGCGATTTAAATATCCCTCGAAATAAAAAGAGAGGCGTCAACATTGCCACACGAAGCCAATAAATGGAAATGGCATGCGCATACTAAACAGAAGCGCGGCCACGCAAAGGGGGAAGATGCGCCATTGGGCCGCGTGGCGGGGCCCGATACAAAACCAAGCAGGCATTTCCATCGGGAAACACGGACATGGAAGGGGCCTCACCTGTGCTGGGCCGGGCGCCGTGGCAGGTGGGCCGACCCGCAACGCACGGGAGCGCGCCTGTGTTGCCTACCCAGCCGGGGGCTACACATGCAGGCAGACCCGCAACGCACGGGAGCGCGAGTGTTGCCTACCCAGCCGGGCGCTCCACAAGCAGGCAGACCCGCAACGCACGGGAGCGCGAATGTTGCCTACCCGACCGGAGGCTACACAGGCAGGCAGACCCGCAGCACGCACACAACGCACACAGCCTGAATTTGCCTGCCCACCCATGGCCTCCGGGCGGGATCAGCCGCCGCGTATACTTCACGTTCTGTAGCGTGACCATGCCTATCCTGTACGACAGCGACGACGGTGAAACGTGCAGCCGCATCCGAACAAGGCGCAGGGCAGAAGGGCTCGCGGGAGATTCGAACGTGTCCATGTGCGCCGTGCGAACAATGCCTGACAAAAAGGGGTGAGTTGAGAAGGGGGCGGGTGAAGGGGGGTGCGGGGGCGACACAGCGACGGGGTGAAGAGCCTGTGGAGTGTGCTAGGAGGGGTAGGGGGCGGGCGAGAGCAGAGGGAGAGAGGACACCGTACGAGACACACAACGCTAATTAAAACACGAATCACAATAAGGGCCTTTCTACGGCATTAATGCCGTCCTGGTGCTATATACGAGGCTGGAGGCTGGTCTCGGCGACTCGGCCCCTCCCAGCAGCGGCAGCAGACGTCTCCAGGCCTTTCCTTTCAGCCCCTCCACACGCTCGCTCGTACGCCTCCGGGTGACACAAGTGTTGACAGTGTGCAAAGACGGCCGCGTGTGGGAGACGGCGCAGTAGTCGCGGCCCGACCGTGGCGCCACCACACTAGCCAAAGCCTCGACGCGGCGCTCATTTGGCGGATGACGCATGCGGGCACGCCTGGTCCGGGCCCCGACCCGCGGAGGTCGGGCTATCGCCGTGTGGTGTGCCCCTCCTCTGCTCCTTTTTCGGCCTGTCCGTCCGTGAGCCTGAAGATGTATCAAACTCTATACTTCGCGGCTTCAGTTCGGCCAAGCGCCGCGTGGATCCTCATCCAGCACCTTAATGGTATGCGAAGTGTTCGAGCGACCCGCCCACGTCGGCACGCGAGCACAGGAGGGGGAGAGGACGACGGGCAGCCCGTGTCCGAACAAACAAAGCCCTGCGCTGTACACAGCCTTGGACAGTCTGACCCCAGCGGGCGACCTGGGAACTGAGCCGCTCCCCCGCCCGTGCAGAGCTTTCGGCCTAGGCCAACAGACAGTGACACCCGCACCGACGTAGTGACACACGTAGTGACACACGTAGTGACACGCGTAGTGACACACGTCGTGACACACGCGGTGACGCGACGGACGGCCGATAACAAACAGTGCCACCATCACCAAGTCGGCACAAGGCACATGGCAAAATAAAACGCCGATGGGTTGGGTATGCTTCTGCTATTGCTGGACTGATCCCCCGCGCATATGGAGAGGGAGTCCCCGTTCACCGGCAGCGGGTGCAGCCCGGCGTGTGGGGGAGGGGATCCCCTTTATAAATACCCCCGCCTCAAGCGGGTCAAGGGCTGGGTAGCGAGCTCAGCGGGGGTGTGCAGGAATTGGAGCAGAGCGAAGTGGCGGGCGGGGCAGCGGCCAGCAGAGTTATTGAGGGGGAAAAACTGAACTCCGGAACTTCGAATTCTGAAATACTTTTCAAATAATCGAATCTCGTGGAATTTTGATGAAAATGACAAATACAAATTCCTATACATATTTCAAAAATGTTTCTTTCGATTTTCACACAAGAGTTGAATTAACTCGGGAATAAATTGGTGGGCGGAGTGTACACAGGGTCTACGCACAGCTGTGTACTCGAGTGTACATTAGGCTCGGCAGTAAAGCACACCCAGCAGCTCCGGGGCAGCCGGGGCGGGGGCGGGGCCGGTGCTCGGGGCTGTCTCGGACAGTGAGACGTGTAAGAAGCGAGGCCTTGTCGCCGTGCTGACCCCTCCACGTCGAGCCCCTCTACGCCACGCCACGCCACCCGACACAATGCAACATTGTTATACTGCGGGCAGGACGAGAGGAGAAGGGCGGCGCGACCGGGGGCAGGACGCGAGCGGGGATGGAGGAGGGGGCCGGTAGGAGACCCCCGGACCCGCACCACGGACCAGTCGTGCACGTGCACGCCACGCCCGGCCAACCGCCACGCCATATCAAGAATAGACCACCTCACCGGCCGGGCCGGGCGGGGCGGGGCGGGGCGGCAGGGCGTGGCGCCTGCGGGTCGAACAATGCGGAACGCCTCGCGCTCGCGAGCGACAAGGACCAAGGACCCTGGTATGACAAACCGCCGCCGCGCTGCTGCACTCCGGGCGTGCCGTATCAACGGGCACGTCAACGTTATTAATTGAACAGAGCACGTAGGAGACACCGGAGAGAGAGAGGAGAGAGAGAGGGGGGGGGGGAGAGGGAGAGAGAGAGAGGAGGTTGGAGGGGGAGACAGAAAAAGAAAGAACTCGTTACGCCGAGACGCTTGGTACCGCCGTTGCACCCACACTTACATCGCAGATCGAGTGCGCATCGTCTTAATGCCCGGGACAATCGCCGGGAAGAAATAATGCGATCGCGAAAGACCCCGCCGCGCACGGCCCCGCCCCGCCCCGCCTCCAAACTCCCTCCTCGCCATTGCGATTGCCATTTGCTATTGGAAATAATTCACGGGGCGCCCGCGCGCTACAACGATACAACAAAAACATTTCGGATTGGAAACTGCGGTATATAGTAAGGGGAGGGCGGCGCGGGGGAGGGGAAAGGGCGGAGTAGGGGGCGGCATGAGGAGACTGAGAGGGGAGAGAGGGAATGAGCGGGCTTTTACTTGGCGTTAGTGGGATACTGTTGGGTGGGAGCGCACAAGTATCAATAAGTATCAATTCAAAATTCAAAGCTGTTTTACTGATATTTCCTTATTTTTAATTGATTTTTTGCCCTTGACTTTTTCGTTGATTTCCTTTTCTAAA